GTTTATTCCTGGTATAGAGCTGCCCGGGAGAGATTGACTATTCTTTTGCTGGTGATCAGAGTGCCCAAGGGCTAATTTTTGAGAGCAGGATCACTTGGACTGCAGTGGATTTAGAAGCAATACCCTGGAGTTAACATTTACTGTGCAAAGCAAAGTAAGGGAAGAAAGGAGGAAAGAGGGTAGATTCCTATTTTCTCTTGAAAAACTGAGAAACTGATGCAGAGAGCTAAAATGGCTGGCCTACGAAGAAAGAGCTAAGTCACTAAAATAGATCTAATTTATCATCCCCCTTTAGTACCACCGTACATATAGTAATACCAGTAGTCACACGAGAGTACTGTTCCACTGACTTAGAAGCTGGGTGAAACCCAGAGAACAGCTCCAAATACTTGCAATGAAGTCTGCTGGGTGGCCATGTCTCTGTCAGTAATAGCTTCTGGGAGTCCAGTAATGTACCACACAATGGACTTTGTGGTCTGTGTGTAATTTTGTCACTTTTTTGTTCCCTGGCATTTGAAAAGAAGAAAATCAAAAGCGCATAAAACCTTATAAAGCAAAAAAAAAAAACACCCTAATATAGCCCATGGAGATGGACATGGAAGGGAGTCAGTTTATAAAAACAAATGTATTTGAACCTTATCTTTGTGCCAGGCACCACTACTAGGTAATGACTGAGCCAGGGGAGGTCTCTGCCCTCCTGAAGCTCAGCTGATGGAGAATTAGATAATAAGCAGTTAAGAAAGAAATGCATGATATAATTTCAGGAACTGCTATGAAGAAAAAGGGTGATAATAGACAGTGGTGGAGCAGAAGGTTGAGGGAGGGAAGAGGAGGTCCTCAGGACTGAAGGCCTGATCTCTGTCCTGCATGGCTGTATAGCTTGCTGGGTGCGTTTAGTAAGCCTTCAATAGGCACTGGCTTATGCGGTTTGTTTGCCTGGCTGTCTCCTAAGTCTCAGCCCCTAGAGCAGTGGTTCTCAACCTGTGGGTTACGACCCACAGGAACTGTATTAAAGGGCCATGGCATTAGGAAGGTTGAGAACCACTGCCCTAGAGGCCGTGGGCTCCCTGAACTCCAGATCTACCACCCAATGTTTGTGTGTGTGGCTTTTTACATACAGAAAGAAGCACTGCCATCACTGGGCCCTGCTCGTCGAGAAAGTTGAGATGAGTTCAGTGCTGGCTAAGCACGAAGTGCTGGTGGCATTATCTTATCACAGTTAGGTGCATGTGCTTACATCCATGTGAATATCCCTGTTCATGGGCAGGTGCACATTGCACACACACCCTCACTGGAGGGCAAGCCCAGGCATGAGTCTCAGGGGGAAAAAATCTGGGAAACTGAGGCTTTGGGAGCTATTGGATATATAAGTTCCATGACAGGGCAAATGTTCCGTTTCAAGGCACAGGCTTGTGGTGGCTGATAGCACAGCTGCAGTGATTGGAAATGGCATTAGTTCTTCATCAGAAAGTATTCTGTTTCAAGTTGGATGATTTCTCCGGTGTGAGACCATTTTCCAAAAGTGAGCGCTCTTAACTTCCAAAAAAAGTAGCTGTATCTTTACCCATTTGTTCTTGGAGAACATGATCAGTCATTTTAAGTGGCTCACGCAGGAAGTATATAAATGGCTGCTAAGACTCAGACATTATCCAGACAGAAAATGAGCCTGGAGCACCAGCTCTGATGTGAGAAGTGGTAGTTGGTTGGCATTGGCTTTGTATTTGAGACACAGACTGATGTTGGGGAGGTAAGCAGTGAGGTGCTGTGTGTTTCCTAAGCTGTTTCTGCTATGACAGTCTCCTTTTCCCTCCTCTTCCCTCTCTCTTCTTTTGAAGGAGATTGGCCTGGAGAAGGCGGCCATGGACATGACAGTCTTCCTGAAGCTGCAGAAGAGGGTACGGGAGCTGGAGCAGGAGAGGAAGAAACTGCAGGTGCAACTGGAGAAGAGAGAGCAGCAGGACAGCAAGAAAGTCCAGGTGCGAGAAGGGGCTGTGGTACCCAGATGAGAGGATGACTTAGCTCCTAGCCCCAGGGAGATCATGTTGGTTCTGGGTTTCAGAGAGCTGCTTCATCTCGTGTCAGAGTCACACATCAAATCTTCTCTGAGTGACCCACACTACCCAGCTGGGCTTTCATCACACCCCCAGCCCTCCTGGCATGAGGCCCCCTCTTTGCATTTGGGTAAAACTGGGGGAGGAGATCTGTGGCGCTGTCACCCACATGCAAAGAAGGGGGCTCATGACAGAGGGACCAGGGTGTGTGATGAAAGTACGAATGATACAGCAGATATCAAATTTTGGCAGAGACAGCCTGTTGCTCTTTTATACCTGGAATCTGGCACGTGCTTGAGCTTAGCCCCAGCAGCTCAGGAACACCCCAGGTGTGCATCACGTGACCTCTCCCATGGCTGCATCTTCACCTCAAGCCAGTTTGTCAACAGCTTGTTCTCCACGACCAGTTGGGCACCTGTGCTTCTCTTAGGACTGTGATACTCAGAACACATATTAAATGAGAAGAGGCCAAAGATGTAAGAGAAGCCTCCAGCCATTTGAGGAAATTAAAATCCAGTTTGGGGCCACCAGATGTAACACAGGTGAAAAGTAAAAATAAACATTGGTAGTGCTGAAATAAATTCAAAGTTAAGTACCAGCAGATTTGTGCCATGAAATTCAGAGAGCCCGTTGAACATAGTAATGCTAGGGTGATAATACCACTTTGTATTTCTTTGGAGGGACAGAGCTACTTCTAATGGGATACAAGGCCACTCTGACATTGACCACAGCACAAGCTGACCTCATAGTGGGTTTGGCAGTGGGTCTGCTCTCAGGCTGGAATCACCAGTTGTGGGGTTGATACCCACCCCACATCCTACACCCCCCGCCATGCAGTTTCCCTTGTGAAACCTCGGTGTTCCCTTTCCAATCAGATGTGATTTGTATTACTAGCAAAGTATTGGGCTTTCTTCCCTGAGCAGTGAGTGGGAAGATAAATCTTGCTGAGGGATTTAAATCTCTCAGATGGATTAGATTCAGAATGGGAAGTGAAAGGATTAGGTTTATAAATGACTCATTCAATTTAGAAGGGAAGCTGGCCGGACAGGCAAGTGTAAATCAAGCTTATGAGAGGTCGTGCAGACAGCCTCGGACAGCACCTGGAGTAGATGCCCCAGGCCTGCCCAGCTGCAGCTAAAGACTCATTCTCCAGGTTCCCAGTCACAGAAGTGCCATCAAATTTTGGAATCTTGGCTGTAGAACTTCTGTTTATCTTGATACTAGATAAAAACAGTATCTCCTTTCTCAAAATAGCCACTGATCGAGAGTTCAAGCAGTAGGCTTAGATGGTAGTTCTGCCCTGTGTTTTGAGGGTATCTATTTGAGGAGAATGGCCTTGTTTCTGGTGGTCTAGTTAAAAAGGGAGAGGAGCAGGGAAAGATATGAAATCTCTCCACAGGACCTGAAATTGAGCTTTCAGAAGTCAAGTTCTGAGATGTACAATTAGTTCCAAAAGGAATCCTGAGCTACCTGGGTTTTATTCTAGAGAGAGATGGTCCTAAGAGGCTGTGCTCTGAATAAGGAACAGCAGACAGGCCCGTGTGGCAGCCACCAGTCTGTGTGTTTGACCTCTCATCCAGCCAGCTCCCTTTCCTGGACCTGGCAGAGTCACCTTGGCCACCAAGATGATTCCAGGTGATTGCCCGTTTTACTCACAGCCCCTTGAGCTTGAATAAGGGATTATCCATGGTCATGTGGCAAATCCATCTACAGAGAGCACAAGTGCTGGCCTCTGACTGTGGCAGTGGGTTGAGTGTGACCCTGAACAGTCCCGTCCACCTGTACTACTGGTGATAATGGAAGCAAAGTGGAGGCTGGTATCTTGGAGAGTCTTCCCCTGGGTCACAGGCTAGAAACAACATAAATGTCTTTCATCTGGAAGGGGCTGCAGGAGATGCTTAAGTCCTGGCCCTGTCTCCAAGCCTGGGCATGCCTAACCCACCTTGGCTATTGGTGACCTTACCTTGGACTTCACATTGTTAGATT